TATTTAAGTGATAATTTATTGAAATAAACATATGACTATTTATAAAATTAGAAAGTGTATTTGGTGCTGTTACTTTTATTAATGAATTTTGTTAACTGAATTTGATGAGATTGTGTTCATGCTGGAAGGCTTTTTGCCAGCCTTGTAGCAAGGTAGCATGGAGGTCTATCTCCATGATGGAAGCCGGAGGTAGAAAGACCTTATCGAGTCCCAAAGGAAGCATAAGTTTAGAAAAGGAAGTTTATTTGAACCTATCACAACATATTTTCAAGGATTCCTTTACTGTTACTTGAATGGCCTTTAGATGGACTTTTTAAAAAACATTTCTTTATGAAGGGAAATTCATCTTTCACTGTTAAGATTCACTGGAATTCTAAGAAAACTAGAGCACTTGTGTTTCGGTTGTCCAGCTACTCATTATTCTTAAGCTTCCTTTACAGCTATAAATGGTCCAGATTTTAAATGTTTTAAAATATATGTTATATAGACAGATGTTTCTCATTGTTTGATATTTTTGTCTGTTGTTGCTATTGTCATTGTTTTGAGACATGTAGTCCAGACTGGCCTCGATCTCACAATCCTGCGTCAGCCTACTGAATGCTGGGAGCATACATGTGAGCCAGCACACCTGCCTTTCGTTGTTTGAATTTTACTTGCTACTCCATGATTCATTTTTTTAATGCAAGCAACTATAGAACATACTATAAGGAATACTATAAGGAATATCCTACTAAGATTTCTCCCTTAGCTTTTAGCCAGTTGATTTTGATGCATTTTAAGGACTTTGTGGTTGTATATTATGATTTTGCACAATGCCACAGGATTCATGTTATTGCAACTAATATATGTTTACTACTCATTTAAATAGCTTTTAAGACTTAGGTCTGCCACACTTGTAGTGCATCACATTCCAGTGTGTTCAAATGGTTTTGAGCAGAATATTGTGGAAGAAAAACAAAACCAAAAATTTTCTTGCCATTTGACCTGTACTACTTTAAATTTGTATTAAGATGATATGTAATTCATTCAGAGCATACTGGCAACATTCACAATTACAGATGATTGGATTTTTAAAAGTTCTGATTAGTTTGATTAATTTATCATTCTTTTCTAACAGTCTTAAATATAGAATGCTAATTAGTGAAAAAGAGTTTTGAAACCTGAAATGCAGAATACAGATTCAGCTGTCTTTGCACTTTGTTTTATGTCTTAAAGGCTGTTCATAGATACTCTGATGCATGAGAACAAAGAAAAGATCTGAAAGCATTCACTTAGAAATCTTCCTTTTTTCCCCTTATTGCAATCATGTTTTTTTTCTACTGTTGGCAAAACTATTTCAACCAAAATCTCTGAGAAACTCACCAATGTAAAATACTTCAAAAATAGTCAGCTGCTCATTTAAATTGTCATGCATTTTCAAGTAGTTTTCATTGAAAAGAAGATTTATATGTTGTTTTCCTTAAATTTGTTAAGAAATATAATGGGGTTCTAGGAAGAATATATTTGATTACCACTTTAAATCATTTTTCTCTATCGCTTTCTCCCCATCCATAGTAATGTTGTGTAACTATTTATACAAATGTTTTAATCATTGTGTGAATTTTGCTAGCCATTTCTTGGCTATCTTTAATGCAGAAAAGCATAGAAAATAACAAACACCTCCAAATCCCCACAGAATTTAAGCTTTTCACCAGCTCATTTTGATACATTTTTTAAGGGCTCAAGATACAGTCATCTCAAACTGATAGAACATTGACTTCACATTAAAAATGTGTTTTCTGGTATATCACCAAGTTGTAAGATCAGCTACCAAGTGAGAATACACTTGCAATCATTTTTTAGGTTATTAATTAACTTCCTTAGATTGGAAGTTTTTTATCAGTAGCAAAAAAGGAAAACAATGTTAATTTCTTTAGAAAATACCTTCGTGTTGTAACATGTGACTGTTTCAAAATTATCTTTAGGAAATTTCCCATGCTCCCCCCGCCCTTGGGAAAATTATTTATAAAGGTTTATTTGAAATACTGTCCCTTGTAATTATATTTAAATGAAATGTTGACTTCTTTGAGGCACCTTGCAAGCATTCATAGGGAGACAAACATACAATGAAGGGCTTCTCCAAATTATGCTTTTGTGTTTGGGAACAAAGACAGGAGAATAGTCTTCGATGAGGCACAATTCAGTGGAGTTTACAGACTGTCATCTATTCGGTCTGTACAGTGGATGCCTTTTCCTGGCTGTTTTTGCTTTTGTTGTTTGTACTAACTGGTTACTTTGATGAATTATAATTCTATAAGCAAACTGCCAGAAAATCACGATTCAGTCTATTCTTCTAGAAAATGCTAATATTTCATATAGCATTTCTGCAGGTATATCTGATCATGTTTCTGCTTGGGTATACGGTGTGTAGTTTCTTCTGCCACGTTTGATGTATGGTAAACCGTGGGCCTGTTAATGATGATGTCCACCTGCCCCAGCAGGCCTGCATTATGTCATGCAGTTGGGTTGAGAGAAGTGCAGGGGAGCCGCTGTTTCTATACAGCCCTCTGAGTGTCTCACAGTGCTGAAAGCAGGTCCTAGCACCCAGTGTCTTTATCTTCAAGGGTTTTGCCATAACCAGGTAGTTCTTAATAGCTTTTTGCTCATAAAACATGCATCACTTTAGGTCAAAGAAATGTGGCGTTGAATGCATGCAACTCGTTTGGGTGTGTTTGCCTCATGAGCAGGTTTTTTATTTTTCAACAGTAAATCTCATCTTTTCTTACATTGCATGAATGTGGTATTATGTTTTTGAAACACAGTCACAACTTCCCATATGAATACTTCTAAATTCTTTGACAGAACTGGATAAAGGGTTAGCTAGTGAAGTCCTTCATCTGTTTGGCCTACAATGATAAAAGCCAGTTATCCATATAAAAGGCCCAGAAGTCTGGGACTAAGTGACAGAAAGAAACCTGAGGGACACAACTCAAGATTGAGCATCTGCTATGTCCCAGGATAAATATTTACAAGATACTTAAATCAATACTTACAACTTGTTGACACACATAATTCACTTAAAAGTGGAAGTTAGTAAAGATGGACAAAGATTTTGAACACTATTGCAAATATCTTTCTGAATATTCTTAAAAAGCTTCAATTTTTATTTTGTCCAATAGATGACAATGCAGAATGCTCAGTGATAACAAGCACCAAGCTGTGTTTTATATACTACATGACCCCATTTTAAGACGCGTGTATATACACACACAGACACATAGATAGATATATCTATTAGGTACATACTAACTGTACCAAGAGGTTTCACTGTATATGACTTCTTTCTCCTGTACAACTTTCTAGAGTTTCTATCATATATGTATATAATTTAAAAATTAACAAGAAATTATATAATATATGAATAAAGAAAATAATCAGGAACTTAGCAGTCCTGATTTTGAGAATAAACTCTCTAGACCTATAAATTGACAGCTAGAATTTATCTTCTTTATTCTTGACTGCAAATGTGTCTTTCTTATATCTAACAGTTTATTGAAAAATTAGGTCCCTCAGTGTTTAATGATAGTAGTTAAATTCTTAAAGCTTATTTGGATTGACTTTGAAAAACATCTATTTAACTGTATTGAGTCTGACCATCTTTATATGAATATATGTAGAGAATTAATAGTTTTGAAATTTCTAAGTAAAGGAATTCAATACAAATAAGAATTATATTTCAAAAATTTCCAAAAGATTAGCTCATTTCTCCCCTCTAGACTTAAAAGGAATTTAAAGTAAAATTATAAATTTTAGCCAGGCACTGGTAGTTTATGCCTGTAATCCTAGCTACCCAGAAAGCTGACATCTAAGGATCACAGTTTAAACCCAACTGGGCAGAAAAGTTGCTAAGACTGGGCAGAAAAGTTGGTGAGACTCGTATCTCCAGCAAAAAGCCTAAATGAAGGTGTGATTCAAATAGTAGACTTGAGCAAAAAAAGCCAAGCAAAATTGACACCTGAGTGCAAGCCCCATTTCCGGCACAAAATTAAGTAAATAAAAATAAATTAAAGGCTACTAAAAATTAATCTTTGACTTTTTGATCAAGTAATAGCAGTTACTTCATTTTCTGTGTGGTGAGAAATATGAAAGGCATATGAAAAGGCCCAAGGACTTTCCATGTCAAAAGGAAGGATTGACACTAAGAAGCAATTGATTGGTAGACAAATATGATAGCTTGAGAATTTGGGATAATGGTAATCACATTTGGTGTTAGCAGATCAATTTCAGTGGATGAACTAGGTATTGGAGCCTCAATAAAATAAATTGTGAAATAATGGAGTAGCATGTTGAAAATTGAGCCGTTTTTACTCCGTGATTTGGGAATGGGTTGGTAAATCCTATGGTTGTGAGGACTCACAGCTTATGCTTCCTACTTGACAAAAACTCTAAAATGGAAACATTATGGAGAATATATTCAAAGTTCTGAAAGAGCACCCAATTTGTTGTTTTTCTATATGGCAAAAGACTAGATTTTAACCTTTAGACAATAGTTTACATTCACTTTTTATAGTGATAAATGATGAAAATATGTCATGTTTAATCATATGGCAACAGTTCTGTATGCATATAAATTATATTTTTCTTCTCTAAAGACTAGTAATTGTCTTCATTTTTTAATCTTTCTTTCTAAGATTAATGTCATGGAGTGTCAAAGTCTCTAATACTGACTGCCTGTAACAGTTTAAATTGAAGATGATTAAAGTAAAATGAATTTCAAAATTTAGTTCCTCACTCACATTAACGACTTGCACATATTTGGTAGTCTCATGTCTGCAGTGTCTCACCACTGTCACAGACAGCACAGATTGTAGTATTTTTCTGTGGACAGTATTGTAAATTGTCAAAACACTTTAAAATATTTTTATTGTATTTTCCTGTATTTTAGGGCATGATTATACTAGTTCATTTAAAAAAAACTCTGTTGTTTCATTGTATTTGTTTTGTTTTGTTTTATTTTCTAGTTTAAAAGGATGCTTAATCGGGAGCTCACCCATCTCTCTGAAATGAGTCGGTCTGGAAATCAAGTTTCGGAGTATATATCAAACACATTCTTAGGTGAGATTAACAGCATGAACTTTGTCATTTTTCCCTTTTGATTTATTCACTTGTTGGTTTGTAAAGGGGGACTGGAGTGTCACCTCATTCTGGAAACCAGAGAGGTGTGAAAATTTTGTTTGTATTCATCTTATTAATCATTTGAGACTACAAGCCTGTAAGCTTTGAAATCTAAGGTGACAAATAACAATTGTTTTATTTATTTATTTATTTAGTGTCACTTAATATCAAACTCAGGGCCTTTCATGTGGTTTGCAAGTGCTCTATCACTGAGTTACATTCATCGTGAGATTTTTTTTAGAAAACTAAATTATGAAGAATATTTTACAAAGACATCTCTGTAAATTCTTGTTAAAGACTACTATTGTTAGGAATGAGGTATCTAATGGAAAATTAGAAATGGTTTCTACACTTGATAGTTTGAAAGTCTTATAGACACCAAGTTGGCAAACCAGTGGACAAAGACTGATTTGCTAAACTGGTCACCAGTGGCTCATGCCTATAATCCTTGCTACTCAGTAGCCTGAGATCTAAGGATTGCAATTTGAAGCCAACTTAGACAAACAAATCCATGAGACTCTTATCTCCATTTAATGAGAAGAAAGCCATAAATGTAGGTGTGGCTTAACTGGTAGAGTGCCAACCCTAAGCAAAAAAGCCAGGTAACTGTGCAAGGCCCTGAATTCAAGCCTACTACACCCCCCCCCCAAAAAAGGAGAAAAGTTCATTGATCTAATTAAGATTGCAGCGTCCTAGCATAATTCTCATACCTCAAATGAAGAAAGGACATGCAACAAGTAAAAGTCAGTGTTCTTGGCATTTCCTATGTGATTTGATATACATTTACTTTCAAAACAGAATCACTGTAATATCTACCTTGTACATATTACATAGCCACCTATTGCACTATAGTATTTGCAAGGTTGAGTTAGGGGTACTGATTGCTTTTAATGATGGATTACTGTTCCAAGACTTCCTGAATATTTTACTTTAGAAAACAAAAATGGGCATATATGCCCACTTATATTTTGGGTAATGTTTTAGATTCTTATCTGGTCTCCATAAAACATGGTAACATCATAACATCCCTTATCACACTACGGAACAGAAATAAAAGTATCAGAGGTAATATAGTTTTTAAAAAATACTGTTTGAGGCGGTTCAGTGGTAAAGTGCTTGCCTTGCATGCATGAGGCCATGGGTTCAATTCTTCAGCAAGACATAAGCAGAAAAAGCTGGAAGTGGAGCTGTGGCTCTAGTGGTAGAACACTCACCTTGAGCTGAAGATCTGAGGAACAGTGCTGCCCAGGCACAGAGTTCAGCCCCCCCATGACCACCAAATAAATAAATAAATATATAACTGAACTCCCACAGTATAACCTATTTCATTTAGATGTTAGGTTCACACATTGATGTTTATTGGTGTATGAAATTGTCTGTTTTAAGGTATATGTTAAAACTGGAGTCCTTAATTGTAAACAGTAGTTTACAAGCCACTAGGTAAATTTCAAACAGAAATGGACTTGATGAGCAGTGTAAATAATCAAGAGTATTGCTTTCTCTAAGCATGTTATCCTATGTCATTAATAATATTTTCCTTAGGATGTTCTATTGGGAGGCAACCACTCTATTTGGTATTAATTAGTCTGTAGTAGAATTTACTTGGTTAATTTTTGTTATAATTTAAGGATATCAAATTAGTTCTGCTCCACATAGAATTATAAACAAATCAAGTCTTCAAAGAAAAATACTATTTGTGAACATTCCCTAGAATACATAGTGATCAATTATAACTTGTCCTTTTGTATGCGCTGGCTTAAGAAGAAAACAAATAACATTAATAATGAATGTAGCATATTTTCTCCATTTCTTAAGATAAGCAACATGAAGTGGAAATTCCTTCTCCAACTCAGAAGGAAAAGGAGAAAAAGAAAAGACCAATGTCTCAGATCAGTGGAGTCAAGAAATTGATGCACAGTTCTAGTCTGACTAATTCAAGTATCCCGAGGTTTGGGGTTAAAACAGAACAAGAAGATGTCCTGGCCAAGGTAAGATTTCAGAGATCATGCAGTGAGGCCTCCGAATGGATTGTGAATCACTCTTCTTTAAATTGATGGAAAAATTCATTAGTTTAAATATGTATGTGTTTTCTTTAAATATGGAAATGCACTTTATAAAACTCAATCCTTTTGGGGGATTCTATTAGTATTAGATTTAGACAAGTGGTTTGAAATATATGTGTTCTATACCATTTTTGATTTTGGTCTTTTGAGTTAGAACACTATCCTCACTCCTGTAATACAAGAGTAGTTAAGGACCTGTGACTAGATTTTATCCATGAAAACTAATGTTCAAAGAATGTGAATTTAGTCATGATCATAAATGCTATTAAGCAATACTATTTATCTTTAAGTAAGATTACCTTGTTTGCCTGTTTTTACATGGTATATCCATTATATTTAAAATGAATCATTTTACAAAATCTTTTCATTAAAGTCCACAAAAATCATTTCCTTTAATTAATTAATTAATTAATGTTTTGGTGCAGGTCCTGGGGCTTGAACTGAGGACCTGTGCCCTGCCCCTGAGATTTTTTTTTTTTTGCTCAAGGGTAGAGCTCAACTTACTTGAGCCACAGCTCCATTTCTAGCTTGGTGGTAGTTAATTGGAGATAAGAGTCTCATGGACTTTCCTGCCCCAGCTGGCTCTTTGAACTACAACCCGTAGATCTCAGCCTCCTAAGTAACTAGGATTACAGACATGAGCCACCAGCACCCAGCACTTGCCCTTAATTTTGAAGTATTTGTGTTCATTGCCTCATGTTCTCCTACCTTCTAAGTTGAGGTGTTTTTCTTTTGCCCCAGGAACTAGAAGATGTGAACAAATGGGGTCTTCACGTTTTCAGAATAGCAGAGTTGTCTGGTAACCGGCCACTGACTGTTATCATGCACACCATTTTTCAGGTAACGTGGCTTTCTATCACATGTCTTTTATTTAGTGACTGTGTTAGTCATTTCCCACCACTTTGACAAAAATACCTGAGCCAGACTACTTAAAAGCAAAGATTTATTTTGGCTCCCTGTTTCTAAGAATTATGGCCAGGACAGAAGCCTGCAATAAGTTGGCTGCTCCATTGCTTTTAGGCTGTTGTGAGATAGGGCATCATCATGGGTGTGTTCAATACAGCAAAGCTGGTCATCTCCTGGCTACTAGAGAGTAGAGAGTGAGAGAGGGATAGCAGAGAGAAAAGAAAGAAAAAGAAAGGAAGGAAGGAAGGAAAGAAGGAAGGAAGGAAGGAAAGAAAAGAAAGAAGCTGGGGGGAGAGTTGCAGAATGAGGGAAGAAAAGGGAATGGGGCAGAAGAGGTCTCACTTCCTAATAGTCCCTTGTCTGTAGCCTCATCAGAGGAGAAATCTCTTTTAGTGGTGCCACCATCTGGGGACAGGCCTTCAACACATGAGTCTTTGGGCCTGTTTTATATACATAATAAGGCCTAGGCCTTATCTCTAGGCTGCAGACTCTGCCTATATTCTGTCTCCCTTCCTGCTCACCCTTTTGCTTACTTTGATACTTCTTTTTTCTTATTTGTTTCCTTACTAAGGGACAAATAAAGATATAGAAAGGTAGACTATGGGTAAAACAGAATAAATCGCTTTTTTTAAATCAATTTGCTTTCTTCCGTATTGCATCTTGTGATGTGGAAGAATTGAAGTAGTTCATTAGAAACAACAATGTAAGAATTGTCTCTGTGACTCCGACTTGCATAGAGAGAATGGAGTGTGTTCGTTTTTTTAAATGAATGAACTTCATGCTGACTAACCTTAGAATATAATTTCTTCAGTTAGTTTTTACTGTCGTGGTATCTTTTCCATATCCATTTCCCCTTCTTAAGGAGCCTTTGCCTCCACTGTGGGTGGGATTTAACTGAGAGGCTATTGCCAGTGCCTCAGGACTAGAACAGGAGACTCCAACCAGGTTTCATCTGGTGTGACCCAGGGCTGTCAGTGACTCCTCTGCAGCTGACACAGAAGCGTCTCTGATCGGCAGATCCTTCTACCTCACACCATATAGTTTGGGTACAGCACTGTTGGCCTTCAGAAGGATAACTCAGTGATGGTATTGTTCTTTGCATTCCTAGACCATTCCAAAGGTTTCCATTTTCTGGCCACTAGACATGGCAAAGTATTAACTTCTGGGTTTTCTGTAGACAACTGTGGTCTATGCTTTTCCTGTAGCATGCTCTGTGGAAATGGTAAGAGTATTACTTCTTTTCCTACAGGAACGGGACCTGTTAAAAACCTTTAAAATTCCAGTAGACACTTTGATTACATATCTTATGACCCTTGAAGACCATTACCATGCTGATGTGGCCTATCACAACAATATTCATGCTGCAGATGTTGTCCAATCTACTCATGTGCTATTATCTACACCTGCTTTGGAGGTAAATCTGCTTTCTAAACATTGAAGAACAGTAACTTGCAGCTCATTTTAAGTTTTCTTAAGAATTTATGTTGAAGAATTACGAGGGAACACAATCACTGGCCTCTTTGGAAATATGTTGGCTTACAGGGGAGAAATGTGGAGATAAATAAACAGTTGAATCTTTGATGAATTTGGCCCATGAAATTTTTTCAAATACTTAGGGATTCATTTGTTTATAACACTGCTTCTCCTAAGTGATCTACTGGACATTTCATAAATCACATCAGGCTTATTAAATTTTAATTAGTTTGTGTTGAAATTAAGCCTGATGGCTTTTACATGTATAGTTAATTGGATTTTTATTTTATAAAATATGAGCAATGCATTAGTACTAAGAAAGTGTTAGAAGGAAATACTTCCAATTTTTCCACATCTTAAGTACTTATTCCATTAAGTTTTTACTAACATAACTTTAATTTTCCTTAATCCTTTTTTGGAGGAAATTCTCTTTTGTGTACATTGCTTTCATTGGAAAACTATTTTGATCATTTAGTCAAATGGTTTTCAACAGGAGATGATTTTTTTTTGTTTTTTTTTAGGAGATGATTTTTGTCCCTCTTTCTTTCCTTCTCCTACCTCCCAGAGACCTTTACCAATGTCTGGAAGCATTGCTAGTTGTCACAGCCATCACGTTTTTGGTCGTGCTTACCACCAGCATGTCAAACAAGCAACTCTGCTAAAAACCTGATATTATTCAGGACAGCTGCCCAGCCCAAGTGGTTTTTTTCTGGCACAAAATGTCAGTTGTGCTGAGGCTTAGAGTTTCTTTTAGAAAGTGTTTAGGAAAATTGCTTATATTTCATTAATTTCAGAATGTTACACTCTGAAAATTATGATTATGGATTTGAGGCCAGCCTGAGTTATGCACCAACTCTATCTCAAAAAAACAAACAATATTTATATTGTCTACATAATATATATATAATGGAATTAAAATATTTGGTCATATACTAAAGTGAGAAATGTTTTCTTCCAAAAGTAAAATATAGAAGATCATGGGTAAATCATTCCCTAGGATTTTCACTGACAGAATCATGAATATATATATTTTGAAGTTTCAATTTCTTTTCGGCCTGAATTCTAGGAAGCTATTCCTCATTTGTGTATGTGTTTCATTTATGTCATGATAGAATAGTAATATTACTTTTATTGTATAATGTTTTTCCAGGCTGTGTTTACAGATTTAGAGATTCTTGCAGCAATTTTTGCCAGTGCAATACATGATGTAGATCATCCTGGTGTGTCAAATCAGTTTCTGATCAATACAAGTAAGTGAAGTTTAAAGTATTGTGGTATGTTTATAAAATTGGATTTTCCCAGTGTTATAATGTTCTTTCAAGATGGGTTTGTGTTTCAATGATAGTCCATTTATAGTGGTGGAATTTATCTCTGAAAATTACTTTCACATCCCATGAGGCATATGGTGTTTGGAAAAACAAGTGATCTGGCACTTTTGTAAAAATGATATATTGCTGTTCCTAGACATTGGAAAGCATTAAGTGAATTTTAAAGAGAAATCTAAGTGCCTATTCTGCCTTTAAAGTTTTAAATACAAAGGAATGCTTGTGGAAATCAGTGATAAGCCCACTCCATGTTATATAGATCCAATCCCCTCAGCAGCTACAGCTTTCCTTTTCCTCACTCACTATCACCAGGCTGAGTCTACTTTCTTTGTGAATCTCGTCAGAAGAAATTTTTCTCCCAGTCTGATTTTTCAGCCACTTAGTTTTGTCCCCATGTAAGAAGTCATCACTGCGTTTGGAATTGTAAGGAGACTCTTCGTATGGATATCTTGGACTGTATAGAGAATATAAGGGAAAGTTTGACCTCTGCCTTTGGAAAAGAATTCAGGCTTACAGAAATTCTATTTCATACTTGAAGTTCATGGGTAAATGACTTAAGTGGATAGGGAAGGATTTAAGTTTCTTATTAAAACTGTGAAATTGTTTTAAGAAAAGGTCTTATTCAAATTAGGAGTTTGCCTCTTTTCTGGTAGTTTTTGTATTTGCACTATAGCTGTTGAGCTATAGCAGTATCCATCTTTTTGCTATTTATTTTCAATATTTTTCTGTAATCCAGATGTATACAGAGAATTTAAATGTAAACTTACTTTGAGAGATTTAACTGAGATGTTTAAGATTATTGAGATCTATTTTTATGTCTTTTACTCTCTGTTACTGCCATACAACAAAATACACTTCACTGGGGAGAATGGGAAGTTATTAAGACTCCTGAGATATAGGGATAGGAGAATGTATTTGAGGTGTTTGGGTTAGTAATTTCTTTATGCCAGTTATACGGGAGAACATTTCATGTTCCAATGACCTGTAAAAGCGTGCTTGCAGGACTCATGAAAGCATACACATAAATATTAGGAACCATTGAATACCCCATCATCCACCTACCCCCAGATATGTATTATAGCAATATCTAGAGCTGACTAGCCCTTTCTCAGAAGAGTTAGCAAGACATGCAGTGTGAGGCACACGAATTTTCCATGTACCCTACTGTTTAGTATTTTGATATTCATATATATAGCAATATGGTCTTCATATTATAGATTTGCAGCAAATACATAAAAATTTTGTTTTGATTCAATTTTGGACATTTAAGAAAGGTAACATTTTTCTTTAATAACATGAAACATGCCCACTGATATGTTTTCTTTTTATCACCATATTGTATAATTCCTTATAACCGGAATTAAGAAGAGAGAACAAATTAAAACAGTTTAATAAAGTCTCTGTCTCTGAAGCCCTGTGACATACTTTTTTTTTTTTTTTAGGATAATGAGGGTCAATTTTGTTCTTCTTTCTTGTATATCCTTCAAGGGCAATTTGGCATAGAATGCAGCTCAAGAGCTCTGCTGGGAACCAGGGCATTGGTGGAATCTTGTTATCTAAAATAATGTAGCCCCAGTCCACAGAAAAGAATAGCAACTCTGAAGATTTGAGAGCCACTGATACAGACGATGGGAGAAATTTGGAGGATGATTATAAATACAAAGGGAAAGGCCAAAGATGCCCACTTAAGGTCATTTTTCCCCCCTAGTGATTTGTCCAGAGAGGAAGGTTAACTAACCCTGCTACTGGAAGTTCTCTGCTACCTGGTGATGCTGGGGTCCTCCTTTCTGTGGGTGCGCAGCATCCCAGGGAAGCCCGAAGTTGCCAGAGCAGCTTTTAGTGGGATGTAATGTTTATTCATGGCAGACAAGAATGAGTCTGAGTTATTCCTAAGCAAATGAGTCAGCATTGTTACTTGGTACCTGGAAGTATCTCTCAGGTTTGGTCAGAGTCTCAGAGCAGTAGTACCATCTTAGTTGAATGTTAGGGATCATAGAAGCTAGAGCTGGCTGTTCTGTTGTTTTTGCTGTTTTGAACCACAGAAGAGTTTGAATAGCTAAGAACATTTTTTTTAAGTTTTATTTTCATAATATGCAAAAGAGGATCTCCAATGATTTTAAACTTGTAGTAAGTGGCTTATGAAATATTCTATCAAAACTGCTTATCTCTGATTTACAGTAAACTTACTTTCTATGAAGTAGGCTTAAGTTTCTCTTTTCTGTGACTTTCCTAGAAGAGTTAAGCATTAGTGAGTCAGAAAAGCACAGTCTCAACTCTTAGCTTGGAACTAGAGCTTCCTACCTGTCCCAAGCTAAAGGTGGACAATAAGGAATTCTGAAGAATTTTAATTTTAATTTAAGGTTTATTTTAAGAAGGCTGTGGAGCCATGACCAGTTGAAGGGATGTGCCCCTGTTTGTGGCTGATGAAGAAAAACACTAGTGCAGATCTGGCTAGTTCCCAGTACAGTTACAGTCCTGCTTCTTGGTTGTGATCATATTTCTCTTTGTTTCATGTGTGAGTTTTAGGTACCATATATTTTTTATACTAATTGTATTTATACTCATTGTAAGCCTCCTAGAGGTTCTAAAAGCAGAGAGATCACTTCTACCTTGAAGATTTGGTTAAACTCTCCCTTCCCCAATTAAAATAATATACAATAGGAGGTGAAGCTTTATTAAATGTTTTGGGAGTATGAGGAGAATGTGAACAGGACATAGAGAAACTGAAGTTCAGGCAAGAAACTATCTCTAAATCTTTTAAAAGATAATGCATTAAAATGAACCCATTTATATTTTATGCATTCATATGAAATTTTAATATTATATATCAGAAGATACTAATCACAAAAAATCATTTAACTCTACAGCTTTATTTTTTGGACAAAACATAATAAAATTGTGAGAAGTATAGAATATAGAATATGTAGCACAGAATTGTATTTGGAAAGAGACTCATTTTTTTATATAGCAAAAGATGCTTAAGTTTGGGAAAAAGATTTATTTATATTAGTTATGTATCAAAGTATATGTTGTTCTTTTATTTTATTATTTTATTTTTTGCTTTCCTTTCTTTTCTCTTTTTGGTTTCCAAGAGTGGAGTAGTACATCCTATTTAGGTAGGGCTGCAGCTGGATCTCATGAACAGTACACGTACATTTTTAATTACTGTGATTTTTTTCTTTTTGGTGCCAGTACTAGAGCTTGAATTTAGGGCTTCTTGCTCGATTTTCTCACTCATTTCCGATGCTCTACCATACCTCCAGTTCCAGTGTTTTGCCAGTTAATTGGAGATAAATTTCTTGGACTTTTCTCAGCCTTGAATAGTTAGGATTATAGGCATGAGTCACCAGCATCTACCTCCCTCTAATTTTATTTTAACCTGCATCTTCCATAGCTATAGTAATAGATTTTATAGAGAATTTATTTTGCTGTATGAACCAGTAATTTCAAAATAAAAACAAATATATGTTTAACAAATGGGGGTAATATAGATATAACTAGGTCTCATGTAATTGGATAACAATGTACTGAGAACCTGCCAAGTGTCAAAAAGTGTTATAGGCTTGAGAAATGCATGTTGAACAAGACAAAAGCTTGGCTTTCACAGACGTACATTATGCTGGAAAAGACAGAGTCTAGCAGGTGAATATGTAAAATGAGGCAAGCTTAGTACTATGGGTTGAGACATACAGAGTAGATGAATTGAGAGCCAGGCAGTTTTAAATTAACACTTTGGCTTTCAAAATGGTATCAAGTTAAGAGCACTCCCCGCTCCTCATCTCCAGAAAAAGTCTGGTGAGAAGTCCCTCTAAACATTTGTGTCTTCTGTAACGTTGAAACAAATAATATATTGTCATTTTCTTACCCTGGCTGACTCTAGCTAAGCGATAACAATGGGCGTGCAGGTCTTCCTCTACTTTTGGTATCTATATCAACAGGCTCTGAAGTGTTCTTGCCCTATCTTTTTTCCAGTCTTTTTTCCAATCATTTCTGTGGACATTGCTACCGTGAAGAAGTGAGTGTATGTGTGTGTGAGTGTGTGTGTGTGTGTGTGTGTGTGTGTGTGTGCCAGTCCTGGGGCTTGAACTCAGGGCCTGTTCCTCAATTTCTTTTGCTCAAGGTTGTGGCTCTACCATTTGAGCCACAGTCACAGTGCACTTCTGACTTTTTCTGAGTACATCAGAGTTGAGAATCATGTACTTCCTGCCTGGGCTGGCTTCAAACTAAGATCCTCGAATTTCACCTTCCTGAGTAGCTAAGATATTATAGGTATGAGCTGCCGTAGACAAACCTAGTCTTCTTTTACTCCCTGTGTCTATGAATCTCTTTTCTTCTCCATTTCCCCTCCTAGATTGAGAATTGATGGAATTTCAAGTCAGTCACCACTGTCTTTTTGCCAATGGTTTTTATGGAAGAAATCTTGGGAACATTATTAGGATCCACTCACATTTCCACTATCTTCGTAATACCATATAATCTTTACAAACATTTTGAGGGATTGATCTCATTTTATAGATAAGGCCAGAAAAGGAAAGTTTGAGTGCTCACTTCAAAGCTAGATCTGATTTCTGAGCTCAAAATCATTTTACCTCAAATACTTGCACATTAATTTACTCTTGAAAAATGTGTTTTTCCAAGCAGATAAGCAGAAGTGTGTGTGGAATTTACCTCTATTTCCTATTGAAGCATGGTAAACTTGAAATTTGACCCTTTTTTCTCTCCCTTATGGAGTATATGTTATTTTTTTTAAAAATATCTATTAAGCTTTTAGAATATTTTCATTGTAAAACAGAATAGAAACCATATGAAAAATAAAGAAGATACTAAAATTCATCTGATATTCTTCCTTAAATGTAATAATTTCATTGAATAACATTTCAGATTTCCAGTTAGGCAGATACACACACAGATACATAGAGAGTGTT